CCCCTAAGTTGTTCCCCTTCGTAAAGTTATCATGTGCTATGAAGACTTAGAAGTGTGTGCACGGCCTCCCTTTCACTTGTCCAACTCTGCTGCATTGAGCAGTCACCACTTTTGGGGTGCTTCAATTGGCGCCCAAATATTCCAAGGTCCAATCCAGGGTCTAGGAACAGAATGGAGCCTATCGGAGGAAGCCCCTTCGACCGACTTCCTGATGAACTCCTGCGGAGTATTCTCGAAAGGCGGATGTGGGATGCAGGCGATTTGCACTTCAGCAAATCGCAAGAGAGGATTCAGCTGGAGCTTGTTTGCAAAAGGTTTCAGGCGCTGGTTCGCTCATCTCCAAGCCTGGAGTGGGATGTGATCGGGCTTCAGAGCGAGAGCATCTTTTGGAGCTACATGCTTGCTCGGACCACAACTTCGCTGCAGAAAGTTTCGCTGGTTGTGGAAAATGTTTCGCGTCTCCTGACCGGTCTTGAGGCGATCGTTGCTCAGTCTGAAGAGACCCTTGAGGAGCTTCACGTTTTCATAGTTGCCAGCTCGGACACAAGCTGCGCCGATTATGAGAAGCTTTTTGCAATGCTCCAGGCATGCCCTAAGCTGGCGGTGTTGGAGCTTGTCCTCTTTCGATCAAAGGTGGATTTGGACTTCGTGAAACCTCTCAAACCTTATCAATCTCTTCGGCTTTTGCTTCTAGATGGCTTCCGCGTTCACGAATCTGCTCTAAATGCTCTCCTTGAGACCTTTCCTTTGCTGAGAAACCAGAAATTTGAAAAGCCGATGAACCTGTTCAACTTTACGGGTCCTGGAATTGAAGAACCTTCTTGGTCGAACCTGTTCTGGTGGGACAGCAAGAGCGGGGTGACACAATGTGTGGCTCCTGTGCCAAGGACTCCGAGGCTGGTGCTGATGATCATTGAAAGAGAACCAAGGACACATGCCTTGGACAAACTGAAAGGGCTTATGGTAGGCTGTAGGGCCGCAAGGGTTGCAAGCAACCTGCCGGGGTACCTCGACGTGTTGGTTGCTCTCATGACGCATGACAATCAGAGCATCCGAAGGTTTGCCGGGCATACGCTCTTCCATATTGTCAACGATGATGACACACGGAAGGTCCTTACAAGGGTGGGAACTGCCGTGGAGGGGCTTCTGGAGTATTGTGGACAATCAGACCTGGGGGCGCAACTTCGGCAAAGGATTGCGCTGAAGATACTGGGGCTGCTTGCATGTGATGGTCAAAGCAAGGAGGCCACGGCAGCGTTTCTTCAGCGAGTAGAAGTGTTGAACAGTCTTCTGGAAAAGGGCACTTTGGACGAGGTAGAGGACGCCATGTTCCAAGTCGATACGATCACGGAGGACTTGGGGCCTCGCAGACTGATTGCTCGAATGCCCAGCTTTATGAAAGCGCTTGTTTTCTGTATGGCTTCTAGACCCGAGGAAAAGGCACGAGAGTTAGGGGCATTCCGATTACAATGCATGGCGGAAGATGAGAAACTCTTGCAGGAAATAGCCAGTGGACCAGAGTGCCTGCAGGCGCTGCTTTCGGTTCTGAACTCTGGATCCGAGGATGTGCTCGCAACGGTCGCAGCTGTGCTATGCAACCTCGCAAGCAATCCCATGGCCAGGGAAGTCATTGCCGTGGTGCCAAGGGCCTTGCCATGGTTGGTGAGCCTTTCAAATGACAAAAGGGAGCGGGTGCGGAAAGCAGCACTTGATGCTCTGCAGAATACAACCATAGATGCCGGGATTGGGAGAGCCGTAGCAAGGACTCCGGGTGGAGCGGATGCGGTGGCAAAGCTTCAGGCTCGGTGCGATAGAGTAAAGACGCCATTCTACAAGATAAAGAGTCGTCAATGTGGTTCCGGAAGAATTGTACTTGTGTATGAAGCAGATTGAGAGCCAGGCGAAATCCAATTTGAATGTAGGAGAAGCAAATACAAAACTGCATGATTGATCCAATTCTTGTGAATGACAAGATTGCTTACTTGAGTGTCATTGTAGGTTATCTTGTGTTAGAATGACAACAAGACTCGTACTCGCTTCACCAAAGCCTCGATGCTGGGTTCATGTCTGCGACTCTCGTCAATATGAGATGGATCACGCAACTTACTCAATTGAAACTTGATCATGGACAATGTCCGAGAATAATTTTGGCTTACAAGCAGGTTGTACCAAATGGCTTCCACACGACGTCGGCGGCTGAAACATGGATTCGGAGTTATGGTATTGTCTGTTATGCCATGTCGGAGATCTGCAAACGTGCATGTGGAATGCATGCCAGAGCATATACATTGTGTTTAACGGGATCTCGAATGAGTTCAATTGATTCAAGCAGCGCCATGTATGTAATCATCAAGCCCGGATAGTACAGTACAGGAATACATTATGACGCATATGCTTTGTGCTTGCAACTAACATGCATGGCATGACCGCATAACTTATGCTTATCATAACTGAAAGAAGCCTTAAAGCGGTACGGGCCCAAGTTTGTAAAGTCACGGAGGGCCAATCGATCCATGTCCCAAATCCTTGTTGACATGACGACAGTATAAGCGGCCAGACTTCTCAAAGATACTGGTCAACCATATGGTCAGCGATCGAGAGCTGCCGCCTAGCTGTTTCCCAAGGCACAAATGTGTTTGAAATGCTCCATGGCTCGACCAGCCGCCTGGACAGTCGTCAAGCTAGGATCCTCCTCATCCGGATTATTGTTGATCGAACCCAGCAACTATGCAATTCGGCTCTTCTTCACGGTCAAGAAATCCACCGCTGACTTGGCCAAGTATGGCCTACATGAGGCAAGAAGTATTTACGAGTGCCGAGAGATCAGCATGCACAACGGTACACTTATTAAGGAAGAGATTCTCTGCTGACTGTTGAAAGAATCTGTACGTACTACAGGAGAAGTTACGGCGCTTCACAAGCAATCCCCAGCTCAAGAATACGTTGGATCTTGATACTTGACGGACAAGAAGGAGTTACCTTCGGTTTCCTCCCTCAAAAAAGTCGCCTAGCATTCGCTCTAGGTCCTCTGGAGCATACTTGATGTACTTTCCAGGATTCTTTCCCCCTTCGAGAATTGATCCATACCGCTTCAAGAACGACCGGTATGCGGGAAGCAGAACCTCCGCAACTTGCAACCGAACCGCTTCTCGTAGCTCCGGGTCGGGGATGACCCACTGGGTTTGGCTTGCGTATAGCTCCTCGAAGCTTGTGTTGAAGGCCTTGAACCTGCAAACAGTAAATACCAACGTCGCTTGCTAATCTCACAGAAATCATCTCCTCAAGCTTTGCCAAGTCAATTACAGAGAGTGCTAAGCCCGAATGTCAACTTTCGTAGGGTCTACAGCCACAACAAAGGGCGTACAAAACACACTCATCGCCTCCTAAAAGCGCCCCGGAAAGGGTCCAAAGGAGCCTTGCCGACTTGTGCAGCAAATGCAAACTCACGGCAGATTCGGTTCTTAGAAGCGTCACAACAATTGCGTGAGCGGGCCGACGCTTTACCACTGACAATCTGACCGCCCCTGGCCCTTCGAACGGATAGCGTTCAATCGCAGCACAAGACCCGCCGAAAGCGAGAACCGTCCAAATATAGGCGCGAGATGTAGAAAATGTTCCTTGACCGCTGCCTGGTCAACACTTCTGGAATAGCTCCCTCCTAGCGAGCGTCACAAAGATTGACTCTGGCCAGAACTGACCCTGGATGCGTCAAACGATGGATTCCTAGTACATACCCGATCTTGACGGCTTGCAGGCTGACTAAACCTCCGGCGTTTTGCTGGAAAAGATTCGAGAACGGCAGCGAAACCCCAAAGGGAATCAGAACTGGGAATGTGGACCGGTGCATACCAGTCTTTGACCGCTTGTCTACGACCCGCCCCTCCCCCGCTCACAAAGAGGCATCAGGAAGGGATCAAATTACCAAAACCCATCAGAAGAGGTACTACCAGTCTTTGACCGCTTGCCGGTCGATCTGCCCTTCTTACCCTCACAAACAAGCATCAGTAAAGAGACCAAACCACCAGCCCCCATCAGAAAAGGTACGTACCGGTCTTTGACCGCTTGCCGGTTGACCGCCCCCTCTTGCCCGCCCGCCTGCAGCCCTTGTCCAGTCAGCAGCGTCGTGACCTTGCCCCAGGACGACCGTTGGTACGCCGTCGCGTGCTGCTGCACGGTACGCCGGTGCCGCTGCACCCAGTCGTCGCCTAATAGCTCGCGCGCCTCGGACCTGTCCGGAAATCGTCGGGGTTTAGGAACTTTGAAGTTCAGGTAGTTCGTCATGAAAAGATGCAGTTGCGCCCGGGACTGATGCCCCCCTGGGATCAGAGCAGTTCGACGATCTATCCACTGCCAGTAGTCGCCCCAGCGGCTCGCAAACCAAACGTATCCGAATCTCAATGCCTCGCTGAGATTCGTAAAGAACGTGGTATTGAGAGCAGAGCGATGATGCATTTGCTGCACTCAGGAGTCGCCTAATAAGTTGCGCGCCTTGGACCTGTCCGAAAAGCGTCCGATGTCAATGCCTGTTCAGATTCGGGCACTACGTGGTTTTCAAAGCAAAACGACGAGCTGACTGCTGCCTCCAGTCGTTGCACAGCAGCTTCCACGCGTCAGACCTGTCCAAAAGCAGTCCGGTGCCAATAAGCGCTGAAATCCCGACCGTACATAATAAAAAGTTGACAATCTGGTCGCTGCACACAGTCACTGTTCAATAGCCCTGGACCTGTCCGTGAACGAAGAACACTAAGTAGTGCATGCTGTCCATCATGTTAACCATGAAAAGCGGCTGGGCGTGCAAATTATGCAGCAAGGGCAATCCTGACCAAACAGACAAACGCCAAGCAGTGAAGATATTCCAATTCAAGAGGAATTTAACGCATTGCGCACGACGGCTCACCTCTTAACGGACCGAACCATGTAGTGCATGTTGTTCATCATAAGGAGCTGCGTGAGTACAGCCATTGCAGAGCCAGAGCAAATCTGACCAAAAAGACAAACGCCAAACGTAATGAATATACAACTACAGATAGAGGGAGACTAGACGGATAGTCGAGCGGCTCACCTCTTGACGGACCGCACCATGTAGTGCATGTTGTTCATCATGAAGAGCTGCGTGAGCGCGGGGTTCTTGTACACCTTGGACTTGCCGTCCAGGTTTTGCTGCAGGACCCCCATGATGCGCGTTGTGGCGACCGCCAGCTGGGTCGCCTGCTTCTCCACGTCGCCCTCCCGGAACAGCTCCTTCAGCGTCGCCTGGTAGCTGCGCAGAAAGCGGGTGAAAGCGACGGGTGAGCAAGCGATTGGACAGATCATTGCATCTCAGGATATGAGTATGGGTCCGTTCGTAGCGTTGTTGGGAAAAAGGACAAAATTGAGTCAGCCAAAATCCTTCGGCGTCGCCTGGTAGCTGCGAAAGGAAAGAGCAAACGCGATGGGTGAGCGGGGTATCCAAGAAGGAAAGTTGCATTTGAAAGATTGAGAGAATCGTTGCGTTGGTAGACCGCAAGCTGGGTCGCCTGCTTCTTGAAGTCGGATCAGCTCCTTGAGCGTCGCCTGGTAGCTGCAAAGAACGGAGCGAACGTGGTGAGCAAGGTATCCGAAACGGAATGAAAAGCTACGGATATCATTGCGTTGGTGGAAGCATCAAGAAGTCGCCCTCCCCGGAAGATATCCTTCAGCGCCTCTTGATATCTGCGGAGAAGGGAGCGAAAGTGATGAGCGGGGTATGCAAGGAGGGACCAAAACGCCACATCTGCCGTGGTGACTTGAAGAGGTTGCAAGCAGTCAGAAGTCGCCCTCTCGGAACAACTCCATCTGCATCGCCTGGTCGCGCGAAGAAGGCGAAAAAAACCGATGCGTGAGCAAGCTATGCAAGAAATGTTGATTCTCGTTAGGCCATGAGTCTGTTTGCGTTAGCGGCTTCAGTAAACAACAATCGAAGGAGGATCGGCCAAAGATTATGGAAAGTTCCGAGGGGGCGCCTTGTAAAGACCAACTGCGACTCCAATTCGCACCACGCTAAAGAACCAAGCCTGAAACTCTGCAGTGCAGCGTCGCGAGCCAGGTTATTAGAAGACTCAAGGCCATGGTTCCGTACGCTCTGCCAGCCCTCGCTGGGCTAACCCTGGAGAGCTGCGATTTCCAAGGTATCAAGGATGACATGCTGTTCCGAAGAAAAACCATTCAAGACTCCGCCCAAAAACATTTCTTCAGAAAGTATTATGTAGAAGCACACCACCTTAGGTTGATAATAGACGCCCGTGATTCACATAGATACATTCTCCCACAAACAGATGTTTCACGCAAAAAGTTCCGGACCAAGCAAACCCCTTCCCATCTTGCGTAATTATCGACATTTACCCCGTCCTTTCACCCAAAGTATGTTTCCGACATTTCCATCCTCCCAACCACGAAGCGGGACTGTGCTCAAGTTGTTGGCAGTGGCCCGCTTCTCACTCGAGCAGGTACTTGACGTAATTGATGACGTAGCTGGTCAGCGGGTGCACCGTCCCGTCCGTCACCGAGTGCTTGCTGACGTCCTTGTCGACCGCCTCCTCGAACTCAGCGAAAGTCCCGAGCGCCGTCTCCGCGACGCGCTTCAGCAGGCCCTTGGCCGCCTCGCGGATCGTCGCGCACGCCTCACCAGCAAACGTGACGTCAACCTGACAAAGAATCACGTCAGCAAGGACGGAAGTAGATAGACGGAGTGGACAAGTCGGTAACACTTGTAACAATTACGATCTAGTCCCTAGAAGTGCGCTTCAGCAGCCCCTTGGCCGCCTCAGGAATCGTCGGGCCACCTCCCCGGCAAAGTTGACGTCCACCTGACGCATTGCCAGGAAAACTTCAGCAACAACGAGGTAACGATTGACAACGCTTAATTCTCGTTTGGCACTCCACCAGCCGCGTCGCTTTTCTATTGCAATCGCCTCACCCGGTAAAAATGATAATTACTCCTTAAACCCAGCAAGAGCGAGAATAGGAGAGGGTACTTGTGTCCATTCCGCTTCTTGAAAAGTTACTTTGCTGACGCAAGTTTTTTGAAACGATGTGGATCTCCTGTAAGACAAAATGATAAGGCAAGAACGACATAACGGAGGAACCTCTGCTAATCCGCAAATCAAACTGATCTACAGACATGAAGGGAGCATCAGAGAAGAAGGTACAAGGGAAGCTTACGTCCGGCATGAGGTCCCGCAGCGTTTCGTACATGTCGAGCAGAACGAAGAGTTTCTCGGGCGACTTTTTGCTCTTGGCGACGGAGTCCCCGAAGCTGAGCAGCGTGGCCATCGACTCGGCAGCGACCTCGCAGAACACCGCGGTACGGTCGGGGTCGAGCCGGTAGAACACCTGGGAAGACCAGAGAGTACCGTCACCACGTCTGGATGAGCTGAAGGGTAGTATATCTTGCATGGGGAAAATATTGCCGCAGAAGAACGTCACGCATGGAGAATTGAGAAATGGACAGATAAGTCTGGAATAAGTCTGAGAAGAATGTAAAGATTATAATGGGAAGTGTGAACAGAGCAGGACAAAAGAGTCGGAAGCAGGCCCAGACACAAGCGCAACAGAGCACCGTAACACAACGAAAGCAAAGGAGGAAGATGTGCCGAACAACAAAGTCGCTCGGAACAGCCGAAGTTTCAAGCAGGATTGAGGTTGGAAAGTACACACTCTCGATCGCCCGATACAGCGAGATTCCTACAGACTGTCGCCCACCTTCCTTTCTTGGAAACGAGCAGCAGCTTGTAAGGAACTAGAGCGGGGAAGAGGCGTGAAAACGAGCCGACAGAAGTCGGCGTACCTGGTCGCACAGTTTCCTCTCGCTCGCTAGCAGCAGCTTGACGGCGATCCGCAGGTACTGGATCCAGCTCCCAATCTTCGTCTCGAGCACCTCCCACTGCATCTTCTGCACCTCTTCCCGCGTCAACTTCTCTAATCCCAGCCGCTTCAGGCTCTGCAGAATCGTCGCGCCCCGCACGTCTTTGTAGCCCTTCGTACACTGCTGCGAGAAGCCCCCCGCCAGGAGCTGCTTCGCCATTCCGTGCAATTGCGGAATGACGTTTGCGGGCAGGAGTTGGAGAGTTTCGATCGTTTCGGGGGGGTGGGGGGCTGCGGTTCAGGGGGGGGTTTCCGTGAGGTGGCGGAGCCGATGGTGTCGGAGCTGGAGGCGGCGGGTGTGGGCTTGTACTTCTCGGGAAGCATCGCGAAGAGGGCGGCGGGGTCCTGCGACTTGCTGCAACGGGCAAGGGGAAAGTGGAACAAAGGGGTATAAGCAAGCAGCGAGGTCGAAGCTTTTTCTGCTTGTCTCTTGACCTCCTCTGGGTTTCAAGGAGCTCAAGTCTCTGGCGCTTCGCAAGAAGGTCCGGGCCACTTTTGCTAGATTGCAAACCAGCGAAGGAGGACGTCCTGACGCGTTTCTGTAAGGGAAAAGTTCCACCTGGTGAGTCAAGCCCGCCAGAGTGATTTGCCAATCCCTGCCACCTGCTGACCGCAAACTTAGGGGGAATTGAAACGGAGATTTAGCTTACAAAGGATCAGAGTTAGAATGGCGTAATGCCAGAAAGCATGCCACTTATGGGAGTCGAGCCTGCGGATGTACTGCCACAGACCAAGCGGAGCGGAACAGAAAGAATGGGCAGAAGTCGAAACTACCAGTGTTGTCCCTTCTAACAACTTCTCTCGAGAAGTACTGACGAAATGCGTACCATGGAACAAGTGCGGTGGAACGTCTTAAAATGTGAAAACGTTTTGCAAACAATCGGGATTGCTGTGATGGGCCTCAGATGCAAAGAATTGCTTGGAGAGAAAGTACGGCAGGCAGTTCGAAATATGGCATCCAAAACAGACTTATAGCAGCATCCTTTCTGTGCTCCTTTCGTAACGATGCATCAGGCACAGCCACCAGTCGCTCATTGTTGCACATGTTTCATCCGAGAAGGCCAACATGGGACCGACAGCCCGCCACCTACTGCACTGGAAGTCAGACCTGCACTCTACACCAGCCAAGCCTCCGGTTAACCTCACAAGCTGTAGACAGTGGCGATCAGGTGAGGCGAAAAGCAATAAGGAACCCCAACCTGTTGGCCGCGAGCATGCGCCGGAACTCCTCCTCTAGTTTGCCCAGCGCCTTGTTCAACAGCCCTTTCGCATGGTGCAACGCAGCGTCGCTGCTCTTGTAACTCCGGTTCTGCGTGAAGAAGTCCACAGCCGTCTGCAACTGATCGACCGCCGCAAAGTAGCCGTCAAAATCGCCGCGAGGGCCCTCGAGAAGGCGGGGTTCGACCTGGCGGGAGACGTCAAACTGCGCCAGAACGGACTCTGCTGCGTGCAGGGTGCTGTCGATGTTCTGGTGCGCCTTGGTAAGGGCGTGTGTGCGAATCTGCAGAAAGGTGGTGGGTAGGAATCTTGGAACAGGGCGTTACAAGGTACGCATACTCAAGGTATGCGATCAATGACGTGAGATATAACTGACATGTTGAGGATTTTGACTTGGACATTCCAAGTGGATATCAAAAGTCATCATTCATTGACGTGATTGTCAAGTAGTACGGCGTACACCTGTCATGATGACAGAATGAATAGTAAAGTCAGAGTAGCCTCCCCCGTCAGAAACTATTTGCTAGTTTCAAACCGGTTTCCAGTCAATCTGTGCTGGGGCAGGGAAGCAGTAGTCTTGAGGCCTCCAGTTCCAAGTCTGCTTCAATGCAGGTGGCACAAAGTCAATCAGAAATTGAGTCATATTAGACTGATCAGTTAATCAACTTTGATCCTTAAATCAAGCCCAGGCATGTGCAGAGGGCGTGTTCAGGAGCAGGCAGCCCCAGGTAATCACTGCGAGCAGGGCAGAGAAAGATGCATGTACCAAGTGAAAGTTCTAGACAGAGAAAACTCTGGTGCAACCTCACATGCCTAGTTTGCAAGCTTTACAAACTCTACAAAACTTTGAATTCTATCCCAGCCCCACCTCTTTCACTTACAGTGTTAATATGCACTACTCTGTGGAATTTCAATCCCTAGAAAGGTCTCCCTCCTTCAATACGTTGAAGAAGGAAGGCGAGAGGCAGCTTCCTAACATTCAGAACCCTAAAGCATTTGAGGACAGTGATCATACATTTCCAACAGTAGCAATCCACTTCACTCATAGTTCGTTCCTTAATGCGTCAAAGAAGCATTCCAGGAGCTGTCAAGCATTACAATCCTTTTTAGGCCCTGACCTTGTCCAGCTGAGCAAGTATCTTTGACACTTACCTGCGTTGGCCGCATTGCTGCTTCAAGAGAGGACAATTGCTCGTCAAACGAGCTGAGAATGTTGATCATCTCCGTGGTCATTGCATCGCTCTTTGACAGACTCTCCTTGACAAAAGTCGACTTCAGGACCAGACGTTCTACCTCCATGGCGCCCATTGATTTTGGCGCGTCTTTTGCGCCCTAGCAATCGACAGGTTCAGGACACTTGAACTTTTTAAGAGGCTTTCACTCTTCAACTTCAAACCTTCTTCGGCCTCAAAACGTCATAGAGAGAGTCAAAAGAAAGGGAACAAAGGAAAAAAATATGCAAACTGCAGTCTGCATGCAGCAATGCAGATCACTAGCGAGTTGAGATCTCATAGTACCTAGGTAGGTCAAGACTCGCGCTTTGAGTCAATAAAGTAGGTACAATATAACCCAGATCGAGTACCTGACTACTTCGAGAGCCTAAATAATTGCCATAACCTTGGACTGTTCAAGCAAACCAACGACGGTTTGAGGAACCGCGAGCCCCACAACCCCCCCTTAACCCGAAAAAAGTGGCATGCAGTGAAGCTCGGTTCGGAAAGACTCCCGACATGAGCTGGAAGATGACGATGGCGGACGATGGCGACGGCGTCACTGAGTGGCGTTGACTGTCTCCAAGGGAAGCGTGTGCATGGTTGTGCCTTCAGCACATCCTCGATTGCACCGATAGCAGCTGCTGCCGCCTGATTTGTATCTCAGTTGAGCGCGATTAATACTGCATTTTGGTTCGAACTTGGTGCGCCGCACCGAGACTAGAGCCTATTTTGCTGCACCACCGACGGGATTCGCCAGCTATACAGATGGTGAAGATCTGCTTCAATGATTTAACTGCCTGGCACTCTTCAACTATGCATATTCCCTAGGGCATATTCATATACATGGATGCGTCTGATCTTCGAAACCAGGCGCCAAGTCGTGTTTGGCAGAGACTCTGGCCGCGGATCCTGTTACACGATCTTCCGCATCATACAACTGTCCATGCGGGCCAGCGCCACTTATGACAAGTTGGCAGACATTGTTGCTAACGCCAATCTTTAAGCCTAATTACCATCTTCCTTCTGCGCAGGCCTGCGATACGCACGCTGTCTGTTATTCAAGTTCGTCCCTTGGCCTTGTCAACTTTAGATATATCAGGGCAAACCTACCGGCCCGCACATCTGCTCGCATTTGACGCTCTCTTTCCTGTGATCATCAGTTAACAGACGGTAATTCGATCGTCTCAGTGAGCTACGCGCCAGCGCGCCCCTTATAAACATTGCCTGATCAATCATATGCTCGTTCCATTGCTGAAATGCAATCAGGAATGTGGTGGATATAAGCGGCCAAACGTTTAGCTAAGCAATTGCAACACTCGATCATTGAGAAGCTTCGAGCCTGGACCGGTATATCACAGAGGCCCGAGTTGTGGCTGAGTCATATAGCCCAGACTAGCTCAGGAATTGGCTCAATCTTCGATCATGTCCTGACAGCTATCTTTCGACTCTCCCCGCCCACTCCGAAGATCAGCTCAGTAGCCGCTATACTTAGCTAGTACAGAGAAGCAATCCTAAGAAAGCCGAAGCGATCCCCAGTTCGTGGCTGCCAATCACACGCAAGTTACATCAGATCGGTCTCGAAACCTTTTTGGCTCCTCATCAAATAGAAAGGCTTGCGAAAATGCAAAATCAAAAGAACCTGTTGTTGATGCTCTTTGCAGGCTAGTTCAATACATTCTTGCGTCTAGTGTGGCTGATATAACCTGCAGAAAAAGGCAGGCATCCATGAGGAACTCCATCAATTCAATTTTGAGGATGACACAAAAAATTCTTTCTGGCAGACTTTGAATGGTGTGGTTTCTCATCGACTCGGGTTCACAAATACTTGTAACGACTGTGCTCGAGACCAATTAAGATTTTCAACTGTGACGTTGCACTTGGACAAATCTGGCCTTTTTCGAAGCTGAGGCGTGGTGGGGCCAGCAGACCCTTGCTGACGGACAATCAGTCCCAAATAGTAGAGATGTAAGCAAGCTTTTCCAGATGAAGTTGTCATTCAACGAATCTGAAGCCTCATCCTTCTGTAAACCTCTCATTGAAAACATCCAGTATAAACTGGATAAGATTCTGACGACAAGGACGGTAACTTACCAGCAGAGGCACGGAGTAGCAGCGTGGGAAAGACCTCGGTGATTCAGTGGACATAGACAAGTAGCGCGACCCGGCCGCTCTTCAGCATCTGCTGAGTTTGTCCCCAATCAGACTCGTCAACTCTGCTTCACTATAGTGGACCCGTATATGCAGGCTACAGGACCTGCATTGCACGATCACATGGTGACTCTTTTCTAGCGCGTTTTGCCCTATAGCAACTATACCGGCTCGCTTCTGTGCGTCCTGCAAGGCTGCAAGGAGCTCTTGTCCCTCAATAAAGTAACAGTCCCCACAGCGACAGGGGTACGTAAACTCCGCATTGTCCCCCCGGGGTTTCTCCATGTCCATCTCTTCTAAGAACACCTCCTCATTGATGGCACCAATGCTTGAGTTCTCTCATGCTCTGCCGCCCGCTGCAGCTGTTCATCATAGGCTTTTCGAGAGTCCGGATCCCGAAGGGTTTCCCATGCTCGCTGGATCCTGTGAAAGTGCTCCAGAGCATCTGACGAAGAACCATCTCCATTCTCTAAAGATCTCACCTCAATTTCTGCAATGCTGTCTGGAGCATCTGACTCTAGTACGTCGTGCTGGGGCAATATTGCAATGGAGTCTTTTGCTTGTCTCAGCTTCTGCCTATCGGGATGCAGCGCTAGCGCGGCAGCATGGAAGCTTTGCCTGATAATTTCCAAAGAGGCATCCGGAGCCACTTGCAAGAGCTGGTAGAAGCTCTCAGCTTGAGCGGCCATCTCCAAGTTCACCGAAGCTCAGTTGCACCGCACTGCTTCAGCGCTTGTCTGGGGGACCCCAGTCTCTCTAAGAGTTGCAATTTTGTCTGCAATTAAGCATCCGCGGGCATGCTGCGTACTTTGGACAGGGTATTCTCGCTGTCATGTCTTTAGGCAGCCATGAAAAGCTGGTGCTGAGGCTGAGCCTGAAGCGCGTCGCCTTCCTCGTACACAGGTCATGAATTAGGGCACAGTGGAGGCCAGAGTCCAGGGCTCCCTTGAGAAGGCAAGCCGTAGCCGGAGCCCGGGCCCGGGGAGCAAAAGGAAACGGCATGATAGCGGTGTTCTCGCGGTTCTAGCTTTCATTTCTGACGGTATTCAGCTTCGAAAGCTTTTTGAAAGCTGGGTTTCAAAACCGGCACAATTCTCGTTGCTGGTGTCCATCCGGGATTTCCAACCGGGCGCGCTTTTGGGCCTACCAAATGAAGTTCGGTGTTAAATGAACGGTCACACTCGTTCCTGACAGATCGGACGGTGCACGCGCGGTAATGAAGGTGCCGGATTCTCTCGGTGCCGGTAAATAATGTTACATGACCCGGAGAGGACGCCACGTCAGCACCCCCCGGGTGTGGAATTCGAGCCTTTTCGATCAGAGACCGTCGAACGCTCGGGGCTTAGGGCTAAGCAACCGGGCATCACAACCCAGGTCGGAGGTTCAGGCACTTAGGGAGAGGCCGCCGAGTCCAGAAGGCAACTTCGAGGGCCCGGGAAATACGGACCGGGTAGCAGCACGCAGGTGGAGGCGCACGGGGCTTAGGGAGGTCCGTCCCCCTTAGAGTGGGGCAAGGAGGCGTGGTAACCATGGAGTCTCAAGCTAGTCTCCAGCATTTCAGCAATGAGTTGAGCCATATAGATCCAGACAATGTACAGAGCATTGCGTCAGGTGCGGTTAGGGTTGACATTGTGAGTTGCCAGGAGCGCGTCGCTGTCAAGTGTTTCACATGCGCTCACCGCATTTGGGTCAAACAAAAGTCCTCCAGTCTCATGACGCTTGCATGGCGCAAGAGCGACCGCGGCACGCAAATGGGCTACCTGGTCAGTGCTGGGGTTCCAAAGGCCAAGCAGTGCAAGCAGGTCGTGTGCTTGAGTTGCGTCCAGAACTTGCTTGGCGTGGTGACGGAGAGCGCAGATGGTTTGTCGGTCACGTTGAGCGGCAGGAAAGATGGTGGACAAGATACGCCCATCTTGTGCCGGCAAAGGGGAGGAGGCCCTTGGAGCCAAAGCTTGCAGCTCACGGACGACGTGCTAAGCTTCCTCTGTCAGCAGAATGCAACGACGGGGTTGGGGCAGAGGCAAGTGGCCACGGCGGCGTCCCAAATTGGAGAGCGGGGCATGGCCAAGGGGGTACGGCCCAGGGTGAAGGGCGCCTCAGAGGAGACGAGCACTGAGGTGAGCTTAATGGCACTTTTTTTTCTTGATGATCATCATGACAAAATGCCTGCTGCAGTTTCGTTTTGCCCAGCTCGTTCCAGATGCCATCGATGTTATATAGCAAGGGCTAGCCGTAGGCAGCGACATGGGAGAGAGTTTAAAGTTCTGTTGAAGTTGCTTCACAGCAATTCTCAATTGTGCGGCCACAATGTATCTCAATTGTTTGAATCAAGAGATACTGATTCAATGGGTTCCATACTTGTGACACTGCCTCACAATGGCAGGGAGGTCGGTTTGAAAGACCTACTCCCGCCTTGTGCTGCAGGAGGCAACGATGGGCATCAAGGAGCAGGCGGTGCGCTACCTCAAGATGATGGCTGCTCCCGAGGGGTCGGTTCACGTCTTCCAGCCCGCAGAGTCGGCATCCCCTCCGCTTAGGCTGTACATGTGTGGATGGGATCACAACGAGGAAGGCCGGGCAAAGAAACTGGGAAAGCCGGACAAGACGCATGCTTTGCCGGAGACAGTCTGGTGGGACACGCGCGGCGAGCTCTGCTGTACGTGCGATCGGGGCCGGCTGACGGAGGACGCGCCGTGCGTGCACAAGCTGGCTTTTGCGGCCATCAGCGAAAGCTGGACCTTAACAGCGGAGCTGCCCACCTACGAGTCGCTTGGCAAAGGGGCAAGGGTAGAGCGGGTTCGAGCAGACGCGACGGGGAGCTATTTTGCGGTAGCGGACAATGTTCAGGGGCCACCGGGCCCTCGAAGGCGCATGGTATTCCGCAGCAGCAAGGGGGTGTGGTACTGCGAAGGGAAGCGCGACGGGTGCCCAAGCCTCACCGACTGCTCGCACGTCATAGCGGCAAAGGCAGCTCTGAAGAATGAGGGAGACCTTCCAGTCGCCGATCAGATGGTTCTGAGGCTCTCGGAACCTCTACCAATGGCGGCGCTGAGCTGGCTCGAGCAGTGGAACGGCGACTTGCCAAAGATTGGAGTATGCCCTGCCGTGGGCACCTCCTCGCAGGGGGGAGGTGATGCGAGGTTGTTGGAGGAGGAGCGGTATCTTGTTGGCTTGCTGGAGCGGCGGCCCCATGAGCAAGCAACCTGCGCCGGCGACTCATGCTTCTGTCGTCAGCACGAGCGCCTCTTTCGAGAGGCCGCCGTCGCACAAACTTCCAACGATCGGGAGAGCTATGGGGGCAATCGTGGCAGGGAAGGGGGGTCGGCTGACGAGGAGGCGCCCCCTCACAAACGGGCGAGGCGGAACAAGGCTTTCTGGGAGGCGCACAAGCAAGATTCGCAAGGTCCAGCCACAAGAGTGGGGTGGGGCGCTCGGCCGCCGGCAGAAGCGAGGGGCAAGGAGGCAATTCGAGGCTTGGTGGACGCGTGCGCGAGCTGCTCGTTGGCTGCACTAGCGGTCGCTGGGGGCCGATGCGAGCATGAAGAGGACTTGAGGGTTCGCACCCCCGTCATGCTCCTTACGACTGAGGCCGTCCAAGTCACAAACCCCAAGCTGGCACGGTTGAGCGATGCGCATGCCGTCCACGACCCGCTCGTGACTTCGCTCGACCGCCCCGTTCCTGTGAGCAAGCTGAGGGATTGCAACTTTCAGGAGCTGTCAGAGAAGGGGTTGTTGAGCGCGCCCTGCCCCATTGAATTGCCGGCGTGCGGCGGCTCATGGGTCGAGACATGGATCGAGGCGGACGTGACGGCCTCCCAGTGGAGCCAGCGGGTGCGGGTGCGGATCTACCACTGCGAGTGCCTTGACGAGGCGCACACGATCCACTTTGACGGCGAGCACCTGGGGCTGTATACACGTGGAATCGGCGGACCCTCTTCGTCCAAGAGAGCTTGCAGCTGCTCTTGCGGGGGATGCAGCACGGGCACAGCTTCAAGGCGGAGCTGGCAACGCATCAGTCGGCCTTCCAGCGCTCCCCGGATGCGATCGTCTTGAGCGAGGAGACATGGCGCCGGGCGAGCCTCGACTTCTTCAAGCTGGTTGGGCTGGGGCTTCGGGATTGCTGCTCGTTGTGTGGGCCACATCCAAAGGTAAGCCACATGGCTTGCCCATGCGGAAGACGAGAGGTCACAAGATTTTTCTGTCTATCGTGTCTTTGCTGTCTATTTGTTCTGTGACAGTTGGATACATGCCTATAGACGATAATCAGTGTACATTCGTCCATAATCTGGCAGTGTACATTCGCTGATATTCAGTGTACATCCAGTAACATTTCATGTACATTTGATGGAATTTCACTGGTTGATCCTGTGCTATGCACATTGACCTGAATTTCAGCTCAACATACTCGTTGACCCACACAACTTTGTGACCTTTTTTCCAGATCCTCATCTGCGACGGCATTGTCGGCCTCGCCAGCGCGGACGGCGCGCAAAAGCCAGGCGGGCTTGGAAGCTCCTCGCTCGACGCGCGGCGCACGTTCTGCCACCCTAGCCGTACCTCCACGGGAGCTCTCCTTGAGAAGCGGCCCATCGCCGGCCGCGACTATTGCGGGTCCGGTCTTCAGGGGGCCGGATTGAAGCGCAAGCTCTTGCTGCTACCTGAGTTGCAAGAAGCGCTCGCGCGCCTCTCTCAACATCGGCCCAAGGACGAGAGGCTTGGCCCGAGGAGGCTGTCAAAAGTGGAGTATGAAGCGCTTTTGAACGGGCTGGCTCACGAGGACCCCCAGATCGTGAAGCGTTTCGGGCCGGATGAGGCGGGGGGCCCGCTTCCAGAGGACGGCAGACGGCGCATGCTCGCTGAGGAGCGCACGATGGTGCGAGATCGAAATCTGGCCGTCTTCGAGTTGCTGACGGGAATTCAGATCGACTTTGAGAGGCGAGGGTTGAGTCCAGACCTGTGGCAGCACTGGGTGGGCGAGTGGACGGAGCTTCTGTACTCTCTCGGCGCGCACGACAGCGATGAGGCTCTCATCGGACCTGGCGCATTGCATGTGGCCCGGAAGCTGCTCCTGGGTGGCGAGGCAATTCGCGAGGATCGGCGGGACTTGGCAAGGGACGCACCAATCCTGCGGCGCATCGTGGATTCGTGCGGAGGGCTCACATTCCCGGCCTTCTTCATGCGCACGCTTCAACATCTCTATCTCATTGCTCTCTTTTCAAGGGGGGCGACGGGGTTCGAGGCCGACGGGCAGCTTGGTTGGGTGCACGAGGCGCGCGCCCCATTGGACCGAGCTGTTGACCTCCTTACGGAGGCTCGAGCACGCCCCCTGAGCATCGAGGAACGGCGACAGTTAAACGAGGCGCGAGGGGTGGCAAACGAGTTGCTCCCGGGCGTCGAGAGGTTGGAGCCAAGCTCCCGGCAGTGGGAGGGGATGAGCGGTCATGAGCGCTCGCTTCTGAGAGAGAGGCTGGGGCGTGACGAGGAGGGAGACGAGTTGCACCCGTTGCCGGCGGGGCACGCTTCTCGAGCCGAACAGGACGTCTTGGCGTGTTATCCGTTCCCTGGTTGGAAGCAGAAGCGGGGGTTGCCGTGGTACAGCAGCTTCGAGTATCCGGACGGCCGCAGTAAGAGCTTGGAGGAGAACAAATGCGCAACGGGAAAGTCGATGACCGAGTGGGATGCTGAGAACGTTCTCGGGCTGGTGAAGGGGGCCGGAAAGCTCTCAGGGAAGAAGGGTAGCAAGAGTAAGAGGCCGAAGAGGACTAGGGGGGGTTACGTTTTTGCGTGCCCGCATCGGGTCATCTACGGATTCCACGTGATGCTGCGCGGGGAGAGCCCAAGAGACGCCTTTGCCGTGCTCTACACTCGGCTGAGGCGGGAGGATCTGCCACATGTTTTGGTGCACGACAACGGTTGTGCCTTGCGCAACTACTGCTTCCGCAGAGAACCGGCGTTTTTTGCCAATGTTCGGTTTGTCGTCGACAGGTGCGCGTCACTTTTACACAATTGCATGGTTGGACAATCTGTAATAAAGCCTTGTTTGTAGTGGGCGTTGTTGCCAGGCATTGAGTAGAGATTGTAGTGTACATCATCTGGTATTGTGTGTACATTAAGACTCATTTTGCAGTCGGAACGGTGTCAAGAGCTGTGATTCTTGATTCAAATCGTGTACATTGGGTATTATTCTTAGAATGTGAATTGATGTATACCTTTCTGTTGACAGGTTTCATTTCTCAAAGGCCGGGCAGGAGGTACACAAGTGCGGCCCCTCAAATTGCCCGGACAGCTATCCGTCGCTCCACTGGATAAACACTAGTGCAGTGGAGTCGGTGAACTCCTTTTTGAAGGGGTTCAGGAGTCTGGGGTGGTACTCGGGGCTCGAGAGCTTCATGGTGATCTTGCCGCTGCTTCTGGGCGGCTATAATAGCTCTTTGAAGCGCGTTGACGACGCCAAGCTTAGCATCGTACTTGCAGCAGCCGTGTGGACGGTAGGGGTGCGTGCTCGACTGTTGCAGAGATAGAGTTGGTGACTTGCATGTGTCTAGCACAAACACGGCACACTTTTCATCCTTATCCCGGAGCAACGCGTTGGTAGGTGAGGTAGAGATGTGGTAGACAATCAGCAATTGGAGGAGGAGGTGTGTTTCATCATTAGAAACATTGCTCAGGTAGGTAAGTAGGTAGGTAGACGCCGTATTTGATTGGCGACTGAGACAATTTGCGCGCTCAATGGTGGCAAAAAGATAATGCTATGATGTAGATTATTTTACACCTACCTACCTACCATGATTGTAATATAAACCAAGATACAGCCCTAAATCGAGCTGTTTTCAAACACCTACCTTCGACCTACCTTTCACCTACCTCACCTACCTCTTCCCACTTGCTTGTGTTGTGGAACAATTGTTTGGCGAGCTCATTGACGCCGTAAGCTGATCCCTCTGTACCCCGTTGTGTTGCGTCCCAGTATCTTGACTTGCTTTGCATATGTAACATCTTTCACATCTTGCATCATTGCTTTGAATTCGGTTACAGTCATTGGCCGATCCCGTCTTT